CACTCTTTTGAGACAATTCCCTGTGTGCCATTAAAAAAGATCACAATGCCCTGTGTGTCCATGGAAAAGTTCAGTGGTCTTCATGTAACACCCTCGGTGTTACATTGTATCGTTTTGCTAAAACATCGCATGAGCATCATATTTATGTGCATATGTGTATAACATGAATTATAAATCAAGGTTCGACACTTGAAACATTTATACGAAACAAGAAACCAATGTTATGTTTCATGTCACATAATATGGTTTAGTAGTCTAACCGAATTTTTATCGAACAAAAGTGTTATAGAACGTTTATGCGAACTTGATAGAGTTGGTAGTACGTGTTTCGTAGGCAGCAATGAAATAGGTGCGGTCAAGGACAAGGATAGCTAGCTAGTACATCTAGTAGGTCAGATTTGGGATTCGACGCGGAATCGTTCGAATCGACGTCGTTCCGCTTAAGTTTTAAAAGGGGTTGACGAAGCCGCTTCTAGCCATTTGTGTAGAGCGATCGGCTTAGGAAGTAGCACGATGTCATCACTTCGGTTGATAGCTTGATGTACCCTCTTGCGCATCGAACAACTAGTTTGGCGTTTGGAGCATCGGGTATAAGTTTTTGAACTGCTTTAAAAAGCGTGCATGGCACATGGCCTAGCCCTGGGCGCGGTCACCACCACCGGCTGCTTCGGCACCGCTGGCTGGCTTGCCGCAAGACGCCGCCATGCCGTTGCCGCCCCACCGCCATGCTGCCCCACCGCCAGACGTTCGCTTACGTGCCAAAGTCGTAAATGCCACCGCTTGCTTTGACGACCGCCGCCGCTTCTTTGCCGCTTGCCGCCGCCGCTAGCTCACCCAGCGCACCGATGTGTAGGCCATGTCTTCGTGCCGCCGTGAATGCGACGCGCGCAGGGCCCTAGCGCTACTACCTTGGCTGCCTACCGCCACTCGCTGGCACGCGGGTCACCTCGCCGTGCCTGACGCACTGCGTCCGAGACGCCGACCGTGTCCTGCCACGCCTGTCGTGTCCCACTGCCCTGCTCTGCTTTGACTAGAGGCGCACCAAGTCCCGCGCTACTACACGCCCGGTAATGCCACTCCAACCTTTGCGCCCGTTGACTCACCTTGGCTGCTCGCGCGAAGGATGATAGCCTGCTCCACCATCACCTCTGCGTCACTTTGCACTGTGTTTCACTTCTTCTGGGCGCCGCCGACGCGACGCTGCGCCGTCTGAGCCTCGTCGGCTTTGCGCCCACGGCCGTCGCGGACAAACCGCCGGAGCACGTCCGCATTATCCCCATCATTGCATGCGTGCTTGTTTGTTGCGTTGACATCCACAAATTTGGTCGAGCAAGCGCGCCGGGACCCCCTCTCTCTCATTGCCGCCATGCCATCGGGATCGTTTCTTTCCAATTCGCCGTGGTGGCAGTGCCGTGATTCAAATTGACTACATCCTCGACTTCGCTAGGTAGCCAGCAGTCCTACCGACCCCACATCGCTGCCTGTAGCTCCATCCTATGCTTCAATTTTGAATCACCACCCCGCCGGGTCCATAAGACCGGACGGACGCGCACCGCCGGCAAATCAGCCATTCCGAGCACCTAGTAGCGATTCAGTGCACCATCAGCCTAGTCGTACCCATCCAAGCACCCTGTGCACCTCAGCCGTAGCTTTATAGCAGGCCAGCCATCTCCGACGTGGCTGTGCCATCACCAGGCGTCGTCGCATCGTCTGTGCGCACGCGGCCAACTCACCTCGGGCTTTCTTCGGCCAGACCATCACCTCAAGGGTCTCCATGGGTAGTTCCTCGAGCCCTCTAGCTATTTGGTTTGCTTCGCTTTTGTTGTGGCTCACGGGAACGTACCCGCCATCGTAGGTCAGGGATCACCACCGGGGAGGGAGCCCGGGACAACGCCCCTGTTCGACGTATCGCTTCCAGCTGCTGCGCGTTGTCGTGGAGGTAATCATCGCCCCCTTAGCTAGGCCTTGGTGGCTCGGGTGGCGCCGCCGTTGCCGCCCGGTGCCCGCGCCGTCGCTCTAGTGAATGCACGGGTGTCGGGGGATGTCGCCGCAGCGAAGAAGAAGAAATGGGAGGGTGTAGATGTAAACTCGAAGACTAAAGGAATAGTGTCTTAGAGCTCACAGTGAATACCGAGTAGACCGAGGGCGTTTTCGCGTAATTGTCGTCGCGCGCGGGTCTCTTCCGTCGTGGGCCGTTGGCCGGCTGGGCCGCGCTTCCGCGTGGGCCGCGTTTCGCTGGCGCGCGCGCTGCACCGTGGCGGGCCGAGCCGCGCTTGTTGGGCCGCGAGCCAGGATTCGGTTTCTTAATTTCCAGAAGAATATAAATGCTTATTCAAATTAGTTTTCAAGCTGAACTTTAATAATTTGTAGTAAATTGTGTAGTGATCCTAAAATAGTGAGACTAATTTTGTTAGGTTCGCAAAAATACCATCTACTTTACAGTACAGTTGGGTTGTAGTTAGCCGTGACGAGTATTGGGTCATAAATTCAAAACTAGAGAACTAATATTAGGTAGGTTAATACTTGTAGGAATAATTATGGATATTTGGTGATAGATATAGTCACAAAAATTTTATAGTAGGTCCACTAGATTGTTAGGTACTTGCTGTAAATTTTGTAGCCTTAGAATGGGTTGTTAAATAAAATAGCTATTACTCTTGTTTTATCGTATTTAGATTAAATCGGTATTAGGAGTAAGAATACATGTAATTGCTATAAGGATGTATGTCATGTTTCATACTTGTTAGTGGTGATGGTACGTAGCTTAGCCTTTAGTGGGTAGACCTCACTTAGTAGTTTAATAGATGTAGTTTTAGGTTAAGAGTTGCTGTGTCATATTATTAAACATTGCATCATTATTTTATGTAGATCACGAACTGGTAGACTTCGTGCTCGTCGGCGAGCCGGAGTACAACGAGGTGATCGAGGAGTACGAGGAGGAGATCCTCGTGTAGGAGAGAGCCCAGGAACCTATTGGTGCTGACCCTGCTGACCCGGCGCCTGCCCAAGGTAAGCCTCGGTGCATAACCCCTATTTTTAATGATCACTAAATATATATATGATGTGCATTTACGTTATAGGCATTTTATGAAAACTACATGCATAAATATATCTACCCATGAGTCCTACTAGTACAGGTTGAGTAGCTGCTATGTTCAGTATATTGGTAGCGTGAGTAACCTATCGTTACTCCCACATAGGTGATAAAATATGATCACTCATGATAAAATAATGGAAAGGTAAATGGTGACCGGGTAGGGATATGGTTTAGGTATTGGTGGGTGTAAAGGGTTGTGTCCTGCGGCCAACAGGGTATAACTCAGTTACACTTTTTCTCTGTCTATGTCGATTAAGGACCGGTCGTTGCATAAGGCATCGTGGGCAAGTCACAGATTTATTGTCCCAAGCGCATACTTGGGCATGGGCGTAGGGAAGACTTGTTGCTCTCTTGTAGCGGATCCGACTCTTTTCTGGACCGACTGATTAGGGGCGAAGATGGTGAAGGTCCTTGCACCACACTGAGTCCGGGACTCAGGAGGGGGGGCTTGAGTCCAAGTTTGGACGGGGACCTAGACACTCGGGACAAGAGAGTGATGGGTTAGTCCTGTTTGTGCCTGTGGTACAAGCGGGGCGTGTGTTTTCGGGGCACCCAGCTGGGCACATTGATTCGTGAATCGCCGGGCGATCCGGTATGACTTGTCTCGTGTTTAGCACCGTAGTAAGAACTGAAAGTTAAAATGAGAAGAAATGAAACTGATTACTCAACTTTTACTTGAAAGTACAACAAGTGCTTATATAGACGGGCTAGATGATAACTTAATACGATTGATAATAATACATAACTAAGGACTCACTATTAGTATTGCTTTCTGTCAAAAGAAGTCAGCAAGCCATAAAGCTTATCATATTCCTTGGAGTCGGGAAAATATTCCCACTAGTCGGATAAGTCTTGCGAGTACATTGTATACTCAGGGTTTATTTACCCCTGTTGCAGGTGATGCTTGAAGAGTACCTTTGTGTGGAGGATCCTTCTGGTGGGTTCAGACGGAAACCTCACCCCTTACCGCTAGATGTTATTTTTAAATTTCGCTGTTTATCATTCCGCACTCTGATATTTGGTATTGTAATAATGTACTTTTAAAGAATCTCTGATGTATGAAGTGGACTTGTATTGTAACTCGTTCTTATTATTGGATCATTGAAAAAAATGTGGATCTTTCGGGTTCTCCCTCTGGGTGTGCCCGATGGATACTGTCCGCGGTAGCTTGCTTTCGGGGTGCTTAGTATCCGGTGAAAGACGAGCTCCTCCGTAAGTATACTATTTTGGACGGTTCTGCCACACTTCAGCGTCACTACTCTAACTTTTTCGTGTCCTCCATGCCACTTTCGTCAGTTTGGGCTCTAACGCCGTCAAACTGCAGTTGTGAAAAGACGAAAATACCCTTAAGTTTAAATATGTTATTATTTTTTTATCATCTTAACGACTTCAAATGAAAAAACTCAAAACTAGAGTGTTGTAGATCTCGTCAAGATCTATAATTTTCATATAAAAATTATTTTAATTTAATTCCGCAAAAAAAATAATTTAATATGATTAATATATCTTAGAAAAATCATATATTTTTTTGGAATTAAATGAAAATATTTTTTATTTAAAAATTATAGATCTCAACGAGATATACAACTTTATAGTTTTGAGTTTTTTTCATTTAAAGTCGGTAAGATACTTCAAAAAAAATTAATAATATATTTAGACTTAAGGGTATTTTCGTCTTTTCACATCTACAGTTTGACGGTGTTAGAGGTCAAACTGACGGAAGTGATATGAAAGACACGAAAAAGTTAAAATAGTGACATTAAAACCACTTAACTTTTCCAGAAAACACACGTGGCATTGCGATTTTTTTTTATGGCACAGGGAATTCCCCCACTCTTTTTCCCCGAAACCAAAACATAAAAAAGGAAAGTGCTGCTGGCTGCTGCCAACCACCCGTGGTCCCATGGAAGAGATGGGAGCATCGCCGGAGTCGGGGACGGCGTGCCGAGAAGGAACAAATAAAGAAGACGGGGGCAGGGCGGAGATGGGGAGCCCTCTGGGCGCGTGGCCGTCGTACAACCCGCACAACTTCAGCCAGCTCGTCCGTGCCGACCCCTCCGCGCAGCCCTCGGTCGGTCAGCAACTTGGCCTTCCTGGCGATCTGTCCTCTAGTATCATGCTGTACTGCTAGGCTCCGTACTTCCTGATGAGCTTACACAAGCTTGAATATGTTTAATTGACCGTGTTCATCTGCGCTTGACCTGTTTCTTTTCTCTGGTTTCTGATGCCGTCGAGAGAAAAATCTCTCTTTTTATCCCGTAGTATCACTTTCGGGCAGGAGGCAGTAATCGGTGCCCGTATTGTTAGTTTTGGCTGGAATTTTGGTATGGACGGCTGGAGAAATGGGGTCTCACTGTTTGATTTTAGTTCAGCTGCCAAAGACCTGTTCAATTTGAGGGGACTGTCTGTCCAATTTCTGAACATCTGGTCTGGTTTTCTCATGGTCATGTCTACCCTCGGTACATTCAGTTGATGTGGTACTGATAGACTAATGGTAGTTCAGTTCATGGCTGCTAATGCTACCGGTTGGTTTTTATAACGTCAGAAATTCGTGCTGGCAACTTATTTTATGAATGATATATCCCCGCAAAAAAAGAAAAAAGAAAAAAGAATGATATATCCATTTCACCTGGTGCTAATGTTAGTTCTTTTTTCTTTCCCTGTGCGTTTTTCATCAGAATGTCACACCCGCCACTTATGTTGCGACCCACAGGACTGATCTGCCACCCAATCAAGGTAACCCCTTTCCATGTCCTTAAGCCAATGATATTCTGCTGCATCCATCAGCAAATTTGTCCCATCTGATTTCCTCGTTATGCATTCGCATGTAATTAACACTGTGCAATTGCGTATTCGCATTAAGTCAAGAATCCCCTTTTTTATTTATTGTAGTATTTTGTACGTTGTACATTGCAGAATAGGTTTCCTGAGCTGTTTCGTCTGAAGTCTGAACTAACATTCTTCAGGTACATGACTCTCTTTGCTTCAAATAGTGGAGCATGATTAGCCATAAGATTTTGTGTGTGAGGTTGAAATGTAGAACGTGTCTGCAAGTCACAGATGGTGGTATCAGCCATAGTGACAGAAGCTCTGAACACCTTATCCTACACAAATGATGCCACTGCAGCTCTTCTGTGTTTACCTGAACCCAGCAGCTCTGAACTTCCTCGTTGTTGCTGGTAATGAGAACTCAGAAGCTAATAGATATGATAGATAATTTAGCAGTTGCTGTCTTAGCCATGTACTCTAATACAATAAATACATAGCCTTCCTTGCTGGCCAATTTACCAGTTGCAAGAGCTAACTACCAGCTTTGACTATGCGATTTCATATAACCTTCTTTCTTTGTTACAAAATCCTCTGGCAATTCTAGCATTATGCCTTCAAAAAACGCAACTGGGAAACATTGCCTGTTGTATTTAGGAAATTCTAGATTCTGAAGGCCAGATTTCTTATTTACTGAAAGTCTGAAACACACTGACTGTTAACACCTGAATATTGATTCATCTAATCACATCAAATGGTAAATTCATTTACGACACTAATTCAGATTACTGCATAGTAAGTGCTCACCTCGAATACAGTAGTTCACAGAGTTGAGATTTATACCATAGCTGATCATCGCTCTTGATATATCGGCATTTGGCAATGCCCATGGTCATATGTGGCTTATATATATTACGGCTGAGTTGGTTTGCCTTTTCTTCCGTAGTGTAGATCGCTTGGATTTGCACTGTTTTATATGCTTAATCTCCAAAAGACTTTGAGTCTTAGATCCTGAGAAAGAGGAAGAAAAGTTTGAGTTAATTGGTTCTTTATGGGTCAGGGATATTGGTGTTCAAAATGAACCCAGAAACCAGTTAAATGCATCCATCAAGAGTGGAGTCTCTAAGACTTTCTCAGTAAAGTTTGGAGCCTTCCATTTGAAAATGCAATCCACATAGAGTTCTAGAACAGGGATGACATTGAGAGAAGTTAGGTTAATTCACTACTAAATGGTAGCCTAATGATCACACTGACTAGGATTTTGGCTTGAACACTCTGGTTGTCAATTTCTGTAACATATGTCGCTCTTTGTTGCGGTCGTTCTCTGGTCCTGAACAATTTACCAGGTTAGGCGAAACCATAGGAAGTCCTTATTGAATTCGTGCCTTTTGGCACAGCTGATTCCACATCCTGTCGGTGAAAATATAATTGTGTGCTGTCTACCAACTGCATAAAAGGTCCCAAAAGAAACAAGCTATGATTGTGCCTTTATATGGGGCTGATGACATATTTTCGGAGATGTCATTTGTGATTTGTGAACAATTGAACAATTCAAAATTTTTGAAGGGATACTTAATCCTGAACTATTTCCGGCACTTCAGACACAGACTTATGATGAATTGCTGAACAAATCATTGGCGTTCTTTAACTATATCCCTGAGAATTCTCCCTCTTTTAATATTTCCTTTTACCTATCATGCCACTGCATTATAGATAGGTCCATAGTTGACAGTAGTTCAGGCTGAATAACTGCTTCCTATCATACCAGTTTATTTAATTTCTATACCTGTGGGGCACTGATCTGTTCCCGCCAAAATTGTCACAAACCTCCCAATTCCTTTCTCAACTTTGCTGCATGGAAACCATCCTTGTTATATTTTTTGCCTCTTACTGCGGACTGAATCGCACCCTGGAATTGCAGTGATAACAACGGAGGCCAGGAACATCCTGCTGAGGCACTTCTACCGGAAATCCGAGGAGAAGGTGAGCTGCTACTGCTAGTAAGACTACACTGCCAAGGCTACATAAAACCACATCACTAACAAAGAATCTAAGCTTAATACCCTGTCCTGAACTGTAGCTGAGGCCAAAGAGAGCTGCTCCGGACAACCTCGCTCCGGAGAACAACAACAAGCAGCCCAGGGGACCTGTGGGCGACGTCGGGGGCCAGTCGAGCACAAGTAGCTGAAGTCACAGGCTCACAGCTGGTGACCGTCCTCCCCTGCCTCTGATCTCTCGGTGTCATACAGATGCAGTGCAGCCTGCATCTCTCAACCACAGCTGGTGGTTGTCCTCCCCTGTGCGTCTTCTTCGCCTCTCACGTATGTACGTATGGATGGTTGGATGGATGTACCTGGGACGAAAGGAGACGAGCTCGGTGCCTGCCATTTCACATGGCACTAGTGTGTGCTGCATCCTCTCTCTTTTTCTCTCATCCTCTGCAATGCAAAAATATGGATGTGCCCATGCTGCTAGCTAGGTGGGGTATAGCCCTACCACCTTGTGCTTTGGATCGTGCACCGCGTCAGCAGCTTTTTCAAAGGCTGGAGGTGATGATTGCACTCTGAAATCCCCGTCTTCTGCTGTCAGATTACTATACTGCTGCTGCGCCAGCCAGGGGCAGCCATGGCATGGACCGTGGTCACGCGCGTCGCCTTTTGTTTCCCTTGCTTATCCGTCTCTTCCTCCTAGTCGCCGGAGGGACGAGCGAGCCGAGCCGCCGCCGTCCGGCCCGTGCCGTCCTTGTCTCGTGTGGCCACGGGATTTCGTTGCGATGCCGCTGGGGATATTTGCCTACTGCTAGTGTGTTTTGTCTGCTCGCCGCCGAGGCCGGGCGGCGCGGCGTGGGCGTCGCTGTCGGGACAGCCGGGCGTGCACGGCAGGTAGTCCTTGGTTGCTCTCCAGCTAAGCTCGCGCATGGCGTTCCGTTGCATGCGACGCGATGGCGAGGGCGGCGTCAGTTTCGGTGGCCGTTGGAGTTGGACGCGGACGCGGCAAGGCGCCGAAAAGGCCCGGGCCGAACGTTCGATTCCTTCACGGACCACATGGTGCGCCGCCAAATGCCAGCAGCGGATGACGTGAACACCCCGATACTGGCCGAGGCAGCCGCAACGTAGCAGACAACGAGTGCCGGGAGACAGCCGCGGGCGTTGGGAGAGCCTGAACCTCCTGGAGCCAGGCTCCATGCGGCGCTGCCGCCGTCGGCAGCAGCCGGTCCAGAAGACAACCCGTCTCACACTCACAGTCACAGGCGTGCAACCTGGAATTTTGGATGCGGCGCCAGTGGCTCGGCACGGGCACGTCGGCCCATCCATTTCTGAACAGCTCAACGGTCACGGGGGCACTCACAGTCACAGTCACAGGTCGCTATTTAGGCTCTGTTCGTTATAATCCGTTTTTTTCAGTTCGTTTTTTTTTCAGACAGAATGTTATTTTCTCTCTCACAATAAATTAACCGGAATAATGTTTCGATTTGTTTTTTCAGCGAAGCGAACGGGGCCTTAGTAGCGCGCCATGGATAGGGGGCGTCGATTGCGTGTACTAAGCTGTCGGCTGATGTTTTCATTAGCCTGTCACTAGGTGTGTGACCGGTGCAGTGGCAACCACGTCGGCCCATCTGCGACTTTCACAGACGTCCAATGTGAATTGCCAAGCTTGTTTAGCATAGGCTACCCATCTTTATCTTTCACAGACAGTCTAATGTGAATTGCCAAGCTTGCTTAGCATAGGCTACCTGTCTTTATCTCTCTGGATTAAATGGGTGAAAGGGACGACGAGTCAGAGTCACATTAGTTAGTGTCTTGTGGAAAGAACTCGCTGGCGGCCAGGCCAGCTTGCGTGCTCTTGTCGTTTTCTGCTCTCGAAACAGTCAATCTTCTTCCAGGCCGTTGTTTTTGGACTCATCCACGACTCTGGATTTTTTTATGCTTACAAGTCTGAACATTTATGAATGAACTATTGAACTGTACTGGTACAGCGACCCCAAGCTAGCCGTTGAAAACGAAAGCGACTCTTCTCTCTGCTGCCAATTCTAGGCAGACGCCGAGACATGCATGGTCAGGTCAGGTCAGGTCAGACTTCACAAGCCATCATCGTCCATTGCGCAGGGCCACAGGCGGAGAGCACTGAAGTTTCTCACCGGTTGGTCACGTGACGGTATGATCTATCTAACCACTTCATAGTTAACCACCTCTGTCGGTGATCAGTTTTTTAGCTATAATAAGCGCTTCCAGATCCAGTAGGGCTTGGTGCGCGGTAAAAACTATTCGAAATTAGTTAGCTCAAAGTCTCATCTCTTGTCCATGTAAACAAACCGCAGGCCAAGACAAACCGATGCGACAAGAACTGACCCAAATGCTATTGCCAGATGCGAGTATGCTGGACAAAGAAAGGCAGTTTGCCAGAAGAATATAATAAAAAAGCTCTAAGCATCTGCACAAAGACGGCTCATGGTGATCCTAATCAAACAGATGCAGTGCAGGGATGGATGAAAGTGTGTTGCAGACTTGCAGTAGACAAAAACCGTACATGCATTTGCTGGATTCCTTGCATTTAAAATTGCAGGTTTTTGGCCTGGGCATGTTAGTCAGTCACAACACCATGCTGCTACACTTGTGTCATTGTGTGTGTGATTGAAGTATAAAGTATCGTCACAGAATGATGGATGCTCTCATGTAATACAATCAAAGACCAGTGAGACTGAACGAGAGGGGAAAGAATGTAGTGATGGGGAACATGGTTAATATCGCTACTCTCTAATGGCAATCCATACAACCTCATATGCCGGTCCATCATCTGTACCGATGGTGGTGCTCACGCTTGCTGAAGCTCCCTTCCTCCTTGGAGCTGTATCTGTCTGAACCCTGAGGATGAGCATCTCTCCCGGGCTTCTTATCCTGCTCATATCAACGCAATTGGCAATGTGATTACTACTGTTCAGTAGATGAGAGAAGAAGAAAATTGGTTAATGGTTCAGACATACATCTTGGAACAAAGATCATCCATTTCGAGCATGTGAATTACATGCCCCATTTTAGGCCTCTTGTTCGCATCAGGGTCAACGCATCGAAGCGCAACCAGAAGCGCCCGCTTCAGTGTTTTGGGAGAAGGCTTTTCAGCCATCTTAGGGTCCACTACTTCCTCTGTTTTCCTCTCGGCGACCATGGCCTTGAGCCACTCAACCAAGTTCACCTGCACACACATGGTAGAATTCAGCTTTGCCGGACCTCGATATTCTGGATAAAGAAACTTATAAAGATGGGAACTACGCTAACCTCTCCAGCTGCTCTTGTATAATCTACAGGAGATCTACCAGTGATGATCTCCATTATAAGTACACCAAAGCTATATACATCACTCCTCTCGTTCAACATTCCAGTGCTGGCATATTCAGGCGCCACATAACTGCAACAGTACCAATAGTTCAGTAATGACAAGATCTAGCTTCATTTGAAGTAGATTGAGTAGAGGTATGGATGGAAGGAGTCTCACCCAAAGGTTCCCATAACACGGGTTGTAACATAGCTTTTCTCTGAGCACAATAGCTTTGCAAGCCCAAAATCTGATACTTTAGCGTTCCACTGCTGGTCAAGAAGAATATTGCTAGCTTTGATGTCACGGTGAACAACCTTCGGTTCCAGCCCCTCGTGAAGATAGGCCAGTCTGGGTATGTAGAAGTTAAATGTCAGTTTTCGGTTATTTCAGTATTACTTGCATCTTTATTTATTTTTTTATAAAAAGTTTGTGATCATTTAAGCAAAGCCAATATTGCTTCCAGGCACAGATGCTTGCTAATGCACATGATGCTTGAGTTTGAATTTTGACTGACAAGCAGAATATCAAGATGTAGTATAAGCATACACAAACAGTGTTACACTGCCTATGGATGAATCGCAACAACCCTGGTGCGCTGAATAAAATAAAGCAAGCTGGCAACAGGAAGCGAAAAAGAAAGAACCATTAAAGATGAGCACATGCATTGCCTGAGTAATTACATCTTATTTCTTTCTATTTAAATGGTTGGGTAATAGGAATTGTTTACATAATCAAAAGAGTACTGTGCATAATAGGGCGGGCCTGGTGCAAGCAGTAGAGTCTTACCGTCTGTGACCGGATAATAGGAATTGTTTACATAATCAAAAGAGTACTGTGCATAATAGGGCGGGCCTGGTGCAAGCGGTAGAGTCTTACCGTCTGTGACCGGAAGGTCCCGGGTTCGAGTCGCGGTCTCCTTGCATTGCACAGGTGAGGATAAGGCTTGCCACTAACACCCTTCCCCACACCCCGCACAGAGCGGGAACTCTCTGCACTGGGTACGCCCTTTACTGTGCATAATAGGAAAACTTTTTTTTTGCATATCTACCATACAAAGGTTATAATGCGTTGTCTCTTTCTATAACTTCTTAAAAGGGAATATGTGCATGCCAAGTGATAGCTCCTAACAAACTTGTATAGTGAAGCGCCAGAGTTCTGTCTGACAACGAACTCTCACCTTAACTAGGCTCCATTACCCCAACCAAGACGCGTGACCCGTAACTGAACATAGCTAATCAGTTGGAAACAAAAAAAAATGAATATAGCTAATCATGCCAGCTCAGCTAGTGCTTGACTTCTTCTAAAATCTAAACGGCTATGGCCTATAATTGTTGACAATTAATTTCTTTCAAGCTAAACTAAGGAATAAATTTGAGGGCGTACCCAGTGCAGAGAGCTCCCGCTCTGTGCAGGGTCTGGGAAAGGTGTCAGTGGAAGCCTTACCCTCGCCTGTGCAATGCGAGGAGACCGCGACTCGAACCCGGGACCTTAAGACTCTACCGCTTGCACCAGGCCCGCACTTCGAGGAATAAATTTGAGGAATAGAATAATTACCCTTTAGCAGTTGCAAGCATAATGTTCATCCTGATGTCCCATGTTAGTGGGCTTACTTCCCCAACATCACCATGAAGCCACTGATCAAGATTACCATTGTCCACATACTCATACACAAGCATCCTGTTCAAGCATAGACGACAGTGATATGGATCAAGCTTCCATTATTGAGAATCAAAACTGAGAGAAGTAGGTGTCACTGACCGAATGAAGAAGAGATTGCAATATGCCAACTTACCTGTAAGCACCCTCTACGCAGTAGCCAAGCAACCTAACGAGATTTTTGTGACGAACTCGACCAATTGCTTCGACCTCCACCTTGAACTCCTTCTCGGCCTGGCCCCTGGTGAAGCAGAAAATAAAAATTAGAGAATGTTACAGAAAGCAGGATGAAATGAAGGATATGAAACGGCAACCCAATCCTAGAAAACAGTGTAGTATTCAAATCTGAGTCAGAAATCGAAGAAATCGAATAGGTGTGGGCACACAGAAAGAGAGGTCATTATTACAGCAATTTGAAAGTCCTTGAGCCCCACAAACCAACCTTTCGTCAGCACAGCATCTCAAGAGCAACAAACTTGCAAGACACAAAATCTGAACAAAAACAGGGTGAATGGGTATATTTCTTCAACTGGTAATATTACTTATAGTCGTTTCACGTTCCCATCCACAATATGCAAATATGCAGAATTATAGTCGCCCGACAGTACCATCCGTTCTAATCTCACTCAGCCATGCCACCAAGTATAGTTACCCCCCTTTCCAAATCAAATCAAGCAGCAGGGGAGACTTGCTCCCCCTTTCAACATCTGGTTCATAGATCCTGGTTCAGCCCAATCACAATCATCGGTGTCAAAATCAAAATCCAAGCCAGCATGAATCAAAAGACAACAGATTGGTGCCCCCATTCAAAGTCATAGTCAAAATGAGCAAAAAAATTTAGATAATGAGTCAAAATGAACAAAATAGGCAAAGAACTTTCCACGAAAGGAGACACCAATTAAGTACTGTACCTATTATTGAGCAGATTCTTGACGGCGATCAAAGTGGAGTCGTGCAACGTGCCCTTGTACACGATCCCGTAGCCACCCTCCCCGATCACATTCTCCTCGGCGAGCCCGTCGGTGGCCTCCTCCAGCTCACGGAGCGTGAACCAGTGGCCCCACCCGAGGTGCGAAACCTCTGGCATCCCCGCGCTTCCTGTGCTCCTAGGCGTGGCCCCGTCCCGCTCGCTCCCGCCGCTAGTCGTGGCCGACATGCCGCTGCCCGGCGTCTTCCGCGCCGGTGGCCTATGCTGCTGCTGTTGCGGCGGCGGCGGAGTCTGCGGCTCCGCCACGGCCTTGGCGAGCTGCACCGCGGGCTGCGGCGCCGCCGGCGGAGACGGCATCTGCGCCTGCTGGCGGCGGACGATCTCCTGGATGTCCTTGGTTGGCGTGGGCGTGGCCTGCTGATGCAGGTGCTGCTTGAGCAGCTTGGTGTCGGCGGCGGGGTAGAGGTTGGCGGCGAGCAGGTCGCCGCGGCGGCGGCGGCGGCGGGAGAGGCAGACGAGGATGAGGAGGAGCACGAGCACGATGGCGGCGCCGACAGCGATGCCGATGAGCACCCAGAGGCGGAGCCCGAAGATGGGCGTCGGCTGCGACAGCCACCCGTTGAGGTACCCCGTGCTCCAGTCCGACGCCGGCGCGCCCTGCCTGTGGTGATGCCCCGGCGCCGGCGGCGCGTCCGCCAGCAGCCTCCTCCGCGCCCCCATCGCCGCCCGCCGCAGCTGATGAAACAGAGATGGGAGAAAGAGAGGCCCTTCCGCTTTGGATTCTTGCCTGCTGCTACTGCTTACATATGCATGCGACTGGCTTCAAGAGAGAACAGAGAGGTGCAGGTCAGCAGATGTGACGAAGGCGAACTGGCGAAGGGAGGGGAGCATGTTGGGGGAGGCTTTTGATGGGTGCGCGTAGCATTTTCGTGGGGGCGGGGGTGTGGGGTCGCGTGCTGCGGTGGCCGTTAGCTTCGGGTTGCTTTTGTCGGCGTGCTTCCCCTGACAGGTGGGGCCTGTTCCCATGCTGGCCCGGTGGCAGTGAGGCGTGAGGGCAGAGCGGAGCGGATATCGAAGTCGATCTGAAATTTAGTTTATATGCTAATATTTATGCTGAAATATTATTAAAGAAAAACACTAAAAAATAGTTCTGAATAAGTTTAAGTAAACAGGTGATAACTTTGTGCTTTTGCTTGTGCAGGCCTGGTCCATCCTTCAGTGCGTGCGCCACGAAATTTGATCTCTTTTTCTTTTTTCATTCAGAAAACAAATTTTGTGAAAGCTCAGCTCTGCCTCCGGTCGTCAATATTGTGACGAAGAGTTTGAGGTAGCGAACTTTCTCTCTTTGCAAAATAATGGCGCTGCAAATGAGGAGCGTGCTTTGGTGCTTTAGCAAAGGCCCTGGCACTGACTACTGATTACTATTATCTTATGAGCACTTTGTTATCACGTCTTGGGGATATGGTGATGAGCTCATGAAAGGCTCTCACTGTTCAGTTTTTAGTGTCACTGTCACGGCTATCAAGTTTAGGCAGTGTTCGGATGGTGTTATTCCGGCACTGTTCATGCTGGAAATTACTGTTCATGCTGGAATTTTATAAAAGAGAAACACTGCCCGACTGAAAAAAAGAACCAGCCAGCCAAATATCACCAGCCGAACACGATTACAGCTGCTTATCACCACTACACTAGCTTTGTTCAGTATATAGTCAGATTAGGATTCGTCATCCATGCCAAATCGAGTGTGTCTTGTACACGCGGGAGGCGGGAGTGCGGGACCTAGCTACAGGCATGGAGCGCAGCTACAGTCAGTCAGCTCAATCACTGCAAGATTCATCACCCGTTGCCAACCTTAGAAGTGTTATATTATCCATTCAGTCACAGCTATGCCAAAGCATGCAGACCCCAGAGCCTTAATGGAGCCGGAACCGGATGACAGCCCGGAGGTTCAGGTTCTTGGGGTGGAGATTTTGGATTCGGAGGGGTGTGGTGCTGGTGCTGCTGTGTGTCTCTGTGTGATGACGCCAAGATTTGCATGGGCTGTCCGATGGCGCCGTGACAGCTCGGCGGCACGGGGCACAGGACGGACACGGGCTCACACGGACAGACCGCAGATAGCCCTGGCTGGCGGTTGGTCGCGCGCCGGGCGTCCGAACCTCCGAAGTCCGAATGCCAGGCGCCCTCCCGTCCAGGCATCGACATCGAGTCGAGTTCACGGGGAGGTCGGATGGACGCGTGCTTGGAGACGACCTCCTCGGCGTCCATCGCGGGTTCCCTGGCAATTGGCGTTTGGCGTCGCAAGCAACGAAGCGAATCGCGTGAACCAGAAGCAACAGGTGAATCCCAATCCACAGGCTGCGGCTGGCTGGCAGCAATTTACTAATGCCGTCGGTCAAGGCTAATGAATCCCCATTCCCATCGCGTCATCGCCTGGCACGCAGCTCCAACCGAACCAACAGGATGGTGGACGGACGGACGGCCGGACGCGGTCGCTGCGCTGCGTCGTTCGTTCGGCAGTAGGCCCTGCCAGGACATGGCGCTAGCTCGCTCACGGACGCTAGCAAAGAGCAACCGGAGACTAGCAGTTTGGCTGCTGCAAAAATCACATGGAAAAGGCGAGTGCTGACTGCTGACTGCAACACAGACAGACAGACATGAAATGAAACGCCCCGGTCTGCACGTTTCAGGCACAGACAGGATCCCTTTCTCGGCTATGCCCATGCGTGCCATGTTTGGTCTGCCTTAGCCTGACGGCCCTCGTCCACAGCCCTTTCCCAGCTTCTACCGTGGCTGACGGTCCCTCCTCGTCCAGTCGTCCTCGCCGTTCAAAACTAGTAGTACGAATCTGCCGGATATGGACTTGCAAATTTACCACAGCCCACAGGTATACGCAGCGGTCAAAATCAAGGTCAACCGATGAGGTCGTGAGGTGAGAATAAAGCAGGGTGCTCAAAGCTGATGAGTGCCATGGCATCAGGGGGCAGGGTGCTTTTCTCTGACCGTGACATCAACTGATCTGATCATTTCGTTTCGTTTCTCAAGCAACGGAGATACTCCTACTAGTCCTAATCCCTTGCGTGTGGGTATGGCTGGAATAATCAAGAGACTAACCGGTCGGCAAAGATTCTGCTTGTGAGCGAACCACCTTCAACAGTTCACGGCAAACAAAGAGTTTTTGGCCAAATTTGTCAGAGACGACGATGTCGCGCCATTAGCTGCGGAAACGACGGGAAACCTAGGTCAAGACTATTCCGTGATCCATATAGTAGGGATTTGTAGGTGCTACTCTCTCCGTTCTAAATTATAAGTTATTATAACCTTTTGAAGTCAAAACATCTAAGTTTTACCAAATTTATATAATAAAATAAAATAATAACATTTATAAAACCAAATAAGTATCATTGGATTCTTCATTAATTATATTTTTATAATCTACCTATTTGTTGTCATAATTTTTTATAATTCTCTTTATAATTTTGATCAAACTTAAAATGATGACTCTTACAAAAGTTGAAATGACTTATAATTTGAGATGGAGATAATACAATACAATACCCCCTCCTTAGCTACACGTATGTACTCCCTCCGATCTGGTTTATAAGCTACTGGTGTACATCAGGAGTCAAACTTTATAATCTTTGACTAATAATTTACCCGACAACTTTTAACTATTCATTCATAAATTTACTATTATATTTGTAATCAAATATACTATGCAATAATCATGAATAATCTAATATAGAATAAATGAATGCCAAAGTGTGAAACCCTCCCAATTTGCCGGGCCTATTTGGCCATTATGACCAAATGGACCAAAAGCTTTCGTTCCTACTGGGTACGCCCTCCCAAATTATAGTCCGTTCTACCACTCGTCCATTTCTTGTTGTATCTTGTCAATTTATTGTCGAGGAGTAACTTATTTCTCTTTACAACTTTTGCTTTCCAAAAATAACACTAGTTTAAAATGTATACAGCCGGGGAGCGGCTGGCTGGAACAGTTTTTTTCTCTCACACAAACCAGCCTGCAGTACTTCCTCACAAACCAGCGACGAACAAGCCAACAGTTCCGAACAGGCTGATAGTCCGTCTTTGTTTCTCAAACCAGAAAAGGTCACAAAAAGAGCAAAGAGAACATGAATTGACCGATGTATCGATCTGTGCCACCTTGATCCGTACTGCAAGTTGGGAATGCATTAACTTATGCTTAAACTACACAGCCTGTTCGGTTGACTAGTTCGTATCGTTGCTGGTTCGTTTATGTGAGAGAGAAGTACTGCTGCTGGCTGGTTCATGTGAATAGTGCCAGCCCAGCCAGCCAGCCCCAGCCGATCGGGCTGATGGTCCTGTACTTTTGTTGTTGGGCCACAGGCAAACAAGTATTACTGCCACATGGACATGGTAGCCTGCAGTCAGCCAGAATAATCCAACGCTTAAGTACATTCGTACACCTGTCCTCACCAAATTTTATGGCTTAGCCTACGAACAGCAGTGATTCCAGCACCTGTGCTGCAATTCTCTTTAAGATGCATTGCGTGTACAGTACTTACATGGTGGAGTGCTACAGATCGGCAGAACTTTGTCTCATTGCACGAGATGAATTGCAGCTACCCGATTGCCATATCATTTCAAAGCACTGACCTGACACAGAATCGTGCATCTTTCTGCCAGTCCAATAGGAAGCGAGACCATGGTGATCTAGCAGAAGAAATCAACTGCACCAGGAAGAACTGAAAATTTGGATGGCAGAAAGCCGAAATGCTCTCCATCAGATTGCACAAAGATGCCACCGCTAGCCGTCACCTCTGCTACTTCAATTGATTGAACCCTGCAAAAGCAATGTTATCGCTTAGATGAAGATGGATTGGTTGCTACTAAGGATAAATAGAACAGCCCATTTGTGCTGGTCTTTATTTTAAAAAGCTTCAAAGTTCAAGCCACTAAGAACCCAATTCCAAACGAAAGCAATTCAGCTTGCAATTCCCTCAACAATTTAGACCTCCAGCATATTTTTCTATCTAGTTTCACTGTAAACAGATTGTATTTTCATTGTGCCATGAACTTTGTCAGATGATCTGACCTATTGGTCGCAGCATATGGCATAAACTTAGGTATGAAGTTTCAACTTTAGGTCTATGTAGCTGGGACCTCTTTAAGAAAACTATTCCACTACCTTCCTTAGCAGCATAAAAAGCAATATGCTACCTGCAGTACCATTTTGTGTGTCTCTAATTTCTTTACCTAATTAAAGACATATAAAGAAGGGCGGGCCTGGTGCAAGCGGTAGAGTCTTACCGCCTGTGACCGGAAGGTCCCGGGTTCGAGTCGCGGTCTCCTCGCATTGCACTGGCGAGGGTAAGGCTTGCCACTAACACCCTTCCCCAGACCCCGCACAGAGCGGGAGCTCTCTGCACTGGGTACGCCCTTTAATTAAAGACATATAAAGTGGCACTGCAGATAGCATATTGCTTCTTAAAGAAGACACTGGATCATTTAGTTCGCTATGCCTCCTTTCTCAAAGGAAAGAACCTTCATGATGATATTCAAGGTTTATGCAGTTGTTTACCTCATTGACGAAACACCATTCACTGATAGATGTGTGCCTCCATAGAGCCTGTGTAGCTTCAGAAGAAAGTCGTACCATTTGAAATCTTGAAGAATAACAACCTATAAAGAACCACATGGATTAAAAAAGACGACAACGTCCTAATATACACTAAAGGGTGTACCCAGTGTAGAGAGCTCCCGCTCTGTGCGGGGTCTGGGGAAGGGTGTCAGTGGCAAACCTTACCCTCGCCTGTGCAATGCGAGGAGACCGCGACTCGAACGCGGGACCTTCCGGTCACAGGCGGTAAGACTCTACCACTTGCACCAGGCCCGCCCTTCAATGTCCTAATATACACTAAATAGAATTTTTAAAATAAATGCTGATCATGTAGTTACCTCAAGGTTGCCACTAAACAGATCAGCTGTTGGAGTTATCTTCATACCACCACCAAAGTACTTGGCATTCCCTATGCACAGGGCAGTGACTTTATGGACGGTTCTCCATTCTCCCCCATTTACCTATCATGTGCAGTTGCAGAATTAGAATGAGCAAAAGAACACATGAAAGCATGCAACTCCTCTTCCAAAACAAACCTAGGTCAAACCTCACCTTTATTCTCATATCATGATTATTATGTCCCCAAAAGCCTCTTAAAGCTCCAAATACATAGCATAAGTTGCCAAATCTCTTGTACATAGAAGCAAAATAGCCTGCCTTAGCACTCCTGCAGGTATCATTTTTCTTCTCTTCAAATCGTCCACTGAAGTAAATATTTCATATTGCTATGTTTAACTTACAAATGGATATCAGCAACATTAACAAAGAAGTGTGGTTCCCTGTTTGGACCCTCCATCACGCCTATGTCTACTTTTGATTTTACTCCTGCAAAAAAGATTCATTTGTGATCTCAGATGTAGAATTCATCAAGTAAACAAGTGTCATACAACAAATGACATAAAAGATATACAGTGGATTAGAGAAGTCATAATTTCCACAAGACAATGACGCGCCCTCATCAACAACAACGACAACAACAACAACAACAACAACAAAGCCTTCAAGTCCCAAACAAGTTGGGGTAGGCTAGAGTTGAAACCCATCAGAAGCAATCAAGGTTCAGGCACGTGAATAGCTGTCTTCCAAGCACTCCTATCTAAGGCTAAGTCTTTGGGTATATTCCATCATTTCAAGTCTCCTTTTATTGCCTCTACCCAAGTCAACTTCGGTCTTCCTCTGCCTCTCTTCACGTTACTATCCTGGCTTAGGATTCCACTACGCACCGGTGCCTCTGGGGGTCTCCGTTGCACATGTCCAAATCATTTCAACCGGTGTTGGACAAGCTTTTCTTCAATTGGCGCTACCCCTAATCTATCACGTATATCACCGTTCCGAACTCGATCTCTTCTTGTATGACCGCAAATCCAACGCAACATACGCATTTCCGCGACACTTAGCTGTTGAACATGTCGTCTTTTCGTAGGTCAACATTCTGCACCATACAACATAGCAGGTCTAATCGCCGTCCTATAAAACTTGCCTTTTAGCTTCTGTGGTACCCTTTTGTCACATAGGACACCAGACGCTTGCCGCCACTTCATCCACCCTGCTTTGATTCTATGGCTAACATCTTCATCGATGTCCCCGTCCCTTGTAGCATTGATCCTAAATATCGAAAGGTATCATTCCTAGGCACTACTTGACCTTCCAAACTAACATCTTCCTCCTCCCGAGTAGTAGTGCCGAAGTCACATCTCATATACTCAGTTTTAGTTCTGCTGAGTCTAAAACCTTTGAACTCTAAAGTCTCCCGCCATAACTCCAGTTTCTGATTCACTCCTGTCCGGCTTTCATCAACTAGCACTACATCGTCCGCGAAAAGCATACACCAAGGGATGTTCCCTTGTATGTCCCTTGTGACCTCATCCATCACTAAAGCAAACAAATAAGGGCTCAAAGCTGACCCTTGATGTAGTCCTATCCTAATCGGGAAGTCATCCGTGTCTCCATCACTTGTTCGAACTCTAGTCACAACATTGTTGTACATGTCCTTAATGAACCCGACGTACTTCGTTGGGACTTTATGTTTGTCCAAAGCCCACCACATAACATTTCTTGGTATTTTATCATAAGCCTTCTCCAAGTCAATAAAAACCATGTGTAGGTCCTTCTTCTTCTCCCTATACCGCTCCATAACTTGTCTACCTGGCGCCCTCTTCTCAAGCCTAAATCGATGGACGTGACGGAACATATGCTCAATAAAATCTCCAATAGCTAGCTTAAGATAGCGCTCGGATGTTTTGAGTGACTTTGCCGAACTCTGTTCGTTTTGTTTACTGGGTAGTTGAAGGAGTAGTAGATGTACTAGACTTGTTGCTTGCTCAGATCGTGCTTGAAATTTGTAAGTTGTACTCCCCAGCACTGGATCATTGGTCTTTACTCTTTGTTAAGCTTTCTAATAAAACTTGATGGATGCCTTTGATCTGAAGTAAGTTTATCATTTCTCTTAAACTAAGAATACAACATCTTTCTTTTTCTTTTTTGAAAAGCACCAGCAAGAAATTTGCTGTGCATGTATTAATAGAGTAGAAGCAAAGTACAACAGAACCTTTGCAGAAAAACAAAAAAAGATAACCACCCTCACAAAGAGTCACAACCACCACAGAAACATTGCAGGCGAAATAAACCCGTGGCTACCATTGTCACGCCACCACAACAACGAGCGCAGGAAGACGCCTTTAGCTGGCTATCACTGCCGAAGCACTCCTGGTCACTGGCAAGCGCGAGCAGGTGCCTCCGCGCCGGTCTTACAACATCAGTAATACAAGATACGCAATATTGAACCTGAATTGCTTGGTTCTGTTTAAAGCATAGTATGTACTACTGAGTACTTTGATAGGAAAAAAGGCATGCATGTTCGAGAAAAAAACATTTAAAGATACACATAGCACTTCGAACACAATAAAAGAAGAAAGTATCAAGAAAGAAACCTCTCACAATTCGATCAATCGCGTCACGAGGATCATTTGTCCTAGTAAAAAGAAACAACAATAGAAATTTACAAAAATAAAGGTTAACAAATAACCGAGTCATATGTAGATCATGCGGGAAAGGAAACAAATATACCAGCCAAATGTCCGAGCAAAATCTGAGCCGGTTCCAAGTGGAATGAGCTGTCAGAGGACAACAAGGTACTTCACTACTAAACAAACCCCAGTGTATAGAAGAAACAATTCAGAACATTTTTATAGTAAGTATCTAATCTAAAGCTAAAAGGGTGTATGGATACTCACACCAAGCGCCGTTGAGTGGTCAGGCCCTCGATCCAGAGCACGCACTGGACTTCCTTTCCAAAAGAAACCATTGACCACCTACATATTCAAAATAACATCCTCAACTCTATAACTGTATCTCAATATATCAATCACTGTTTGTAGCATGGTTGTGCAAATATTGTGCAAACAAAGTACCTCATGAAGGGTACCATCACCTCCAACAGCGATCACGGCATCAGCCCCATCCTTTATAGCCTACAGAAGTACACCAGCACTAGTGCTTAGAGTACACAGCCACCAATTGGAACCCAGTATTTGACAAGGGAACACGCACGCACCTCCCTTGTGACATCTATGGCATGGGACGGGCCCGAAGTGATGCACTCGCAAATCTGAGGAGCCAATACCAACAAATGGAAACATTCTGCGAGATGAGAGTGAGACCGTCTAACTACCGCCGGATTCGAGACCACGCGCGGGTTTCACGTGGCAACTACAAATCCCAGAGTGGAAGAACTTATCAGCTAGCGATCTGAAAGTTATGCACAACGACGGCTCACGTTGCACTGATCGGCGAGGCGGGTGCGGAGGAGCGGCAGCAACTGCTTCCACTGCTTTCCCGTGCGGCCATTGGCGCCTGCGCCGCGGAGTAACCGCGAAGAGAACGGCGTTTAGCGCGCAGATTCGCAAGGGTACTAGCCGGAGCGGAGGGAAGAGGGGGTAGGGATGCGGGAGCGTACCGGAGGGATTGACGACGAAAACGAAGTCGCCGCGCCGGCGGCGGGAGGCGGCGACGCGGTCGGAGCTGAGGCCAACGGCGCTGGGCTGGGAGTGCGAGTGCGAGGAGGCACGCGGGAGGATCAGCGACGTCCTCGGCGTCGCGGGCGCAGCCATGGCGTCTCAGCTTATTATCCCGATTCCCGACTTGACTCTGGAAGTATGGACGGAGACGCCGAGAAGGCGTGAAACTGCGCCGCCTACTGCCTCCAATTACGCCATGTGCACGACGAAGCAGACTTTGCACGGCTCCCGCCGGCTCACACCGAAGCAGACTTTGCACAATCAGTGTCGCTATCCGGAGCCGTCGGAGCCCGGCAAATGGGCTCTTTGCACAATCACGTGTCCCCGGGCTGTGCTGAACTGCTGATTCATGTGCAGCAAGCAGTATGTTTAGTTGTTTGTTTACACATGAATTTAATCCGGCACGCCTACAACCGTGCATTTGCCATGTTGATACTAACTTTCAGAACTGAGACGAAGATTTCTCTTCTTTATGCGTTTATTTAATATTAAGAGTTGCTATATTTTAGGCAACTGAATTTCCAAACAACAATTTTTGACAATTCAAAAGACAACTCATAAATTTTTTTCTATATATAGTCAAATCAAACAATGACAAAATTACATGTTGCCCAAAAAAATCAGGCATGTAAAATATAGAAGTGTCTAATATTAATTGGAAAAGACATGGGTGCAATATAATTTGCGAGCGATACGTAGCACAATGAGCCCAATTTATAGCTTTGCAGTTTGTACATATCATGCAAAACAGATAATCCACAGATACATCGAATGGCACACAGATTAGCAACTCTGCACCTCACGAAATTTTGCAAAATTTTACCTCCGCATGTGCGGATGGGTTTGCCTCCTTATCTATCTATACTAATACTACAAGCTCAATGTGCTCCTACATCTGTTAGGAACCTCGAGCGGAACATACTACAAGCTCAATGTGCTCCTACATCTGTTAGGAACCTCGAGCAACAACAACAAGCGCTGGACACCAACAACGCAATGCGCACCGCTACCCAAAGAATTCATATTTGCTTGGGTTTCATGACACGAGATGAACTTTCTTGCCGTCCAGATTGAATTTCCTGCTTCCTTGAAGCTGCAGAACACAACGAGATGAAACTGAAATCAACACAAAGACATGATAGCTGTATGCAACGCCTCATGTGTAAAATACAGCCCATCGGCAAATGACTACTCAACCGTATGCATTCAAAGGTACTGATGTGATGATGCATATCGATAGCTCAAGAGGGATCCATAGGCCATATAGTAGGTGCATGCCTAAATACAGTATAAAGAAAACAAGCAGAAAGACAACAGGCTCCTTCCCATCTGCTGATAAAGTTACCGATGTGATGATGCATACCTTTTTCTTCAGAAACAACAGAGCTTCGCGTCTACATGAGAAGCTGGAGAATACAGCATTTGAATGTTCCTCAACGGCTACCTTAAGATCCTTCAATTTCATTGACTGAGATGGGGCCTGAAAAGAACAAGAGTCAGTAACCATCATATACCAGAGAACAGCAAATGAAACACTCAGCATATAGTATATAGAGACTATACCTGACGAAGTATTCTTTTGCAAAGTTTCTTGACCTTGGTTTTGGGTCTAGCATCCACAAGCAATTCTTTTTCTGCATTCCTGTCTGTGTCTATTGATTCAGAAGCACTGGCAGGTTCTTCCTCATCATCATTCTCTTCGATTTCTGAATATTCATTGGACTGGGCTGAATTATCATCATCACTATCAACAAACGAAGTTTTGTTTCCCTTCCAACGTTGGCCAGCAACTTTCATTGGCAGGCCTTTGATGCCAAGACCCTGCTTTCCAGAAGTAGCTTTATCCTGCAGCAAATTACAGACCGTTGGATATAATAAGAATTTTGGTAGATTTATTTGTTCATAAGAACATGTAGATGTATGTTTTGTAATCTGTATATATTTATTTATATGTTTGTATGAACAGGTATGTTATGCAATAATGCACACAATTATCACTGAAAAGAATTGTAGTTGAAAGACTAAAACTACATCTAGAGTACATTGAGCATTGTCAACATCATATCTCGGAAAACAAAAGGTAGAAATAGCATGCTCACTGTTAATCTTGGGAAATCAGTGTACAGTGCATCATACAAACCTGAACAAGATTGTACAAATTTTCTTGATCTTCCTCCGCAAATGTCTGGCGGACATTAGTGGGATCTTTTCGTAAAGATTTGTTTTTACGGGATTTTGCTCCTAGAAACCCTCCTGATACAAATCCAAATTTGTGCCCCCACCAGTTCACATCATCAGCTTGGGATACTGAAAGCACAGAGTTAACAGAGTTACTAACAACTCAGATGCAGAATTGTAGACACATTAGAGAAGAAACAAATGAATGCATTTGGTTTATTGTTCAGTAGCGCAATAACACAGGCCAGATGCAGACACAGACTCTTCCTAACAAGGATGAGACTACAGTATATAGTAATAAAACTTAAACAACTGATATCATTATTATGCTGAGCAGATGATCCATTTTTTGTAGCGGGAAAGGATTTGTTTTAGCCTGATAGTCGTACTTGTATTTCTGGTTACAAAAATGATCAAATAACCAACCTGATTTCATTTCAAGCACTCTGATTTCAATAGCTAATGAGTGGACCCTGGCAAGTTTAGAGCATTATTTTTAAAATCTTACAAAGTAGTCCAAAAACATCCTATTCTGGTAGCATAAGGAAACTCAGATCAATATAATAAGGAATTAAAGGGCCAAAAGCTCAGGCAATACTGAAGGCAGGGCAAAAAAACACACAACAAACTACTGACCTGCATCCGGGCAGATGATGGGATCAGGTTCATCCAAGCATGTCGGTTCAAGTTTCTGATCCACTTGGGAATTATCTTCACTTTTGCGTACCTGTGCCAGGACAGGTTGCTTTAGATGTCTGAACAAGGCCAATTATTAACACAACTTGTACCTTACATAATTCAAATGCATCCAGTGCTTTCCAGCAGACTAGTACTTAACACTAGTAGAACATCTCAAAAAGTTTCTTAAAAAAAAACACCCGCTGCTGCCCAGCCAAATGCAGAAGGCCCCCAGCCTACCACTGCTGCCACCCAGGCAGCCCCCTGCCCCCCAGGCAGCTACAGACAGCCCCCAGCCGGGTAAGGCGCCGGCAACGGCAGCCAGAGGAAAAACAGGGGGAATGCACGCACATATCTGGGAGTTGGAGGGGAGATTTAACAAGTGGTTATCTTTACAGATTTCTGATACAAAACTGTTGGAGAGCCACTTTTTTTCTTTTTGCCAAAAAAAAAACAATTAGGGAGGTGTTTAAAGGAGCTCTTGGAGATGCTCTTAACAAATTAGACTTAGTAAAAAACACACACACATTGTATACACTGTGTCACTGTGCAAGAAACAATTGCTCATTAATGATAGCCAGTTTATTTAAAAGAAACAAACACAACAACAACAACAACAACAACAACAACAAAGCCTTTAAGTCCCAAACAAGTTGGGATAGGCTAGAGTTGAAACCCGGTAGAAGCAATAAAAAGGTTCCAAACCAACGTGAATAGGGCGAGTAATCTTCCAAGCACTCCTATCTAAGGCTAAGTCTTTGGGTATATTCCATCCTTTCAAGTCTCCTTTATTGCCTCTACCCAAGTCAAGAATACAAAACTAATGTGCAAAGTCTACCTCTTGCCTCTCTTCATGATTGTTGGCTTAGCAGAGAAAAACAACGGTGCCTCTGGAGGAGAAAAATTATTGGACATGTCCAAACCATCTCAACGGTGTTGGACAAGCTTTTTCTTCAATTGGTGCTACCCTAATCTATCACGCATATATCATCGTTCGAACTCGATCCATTTTCTAATCAGAAAGTATTGAAACCCAGGCATTCTAGATCCAATGCAACATACGTATTTCCATGACACTTATCTATTCAACATGACCCTTTATGCCTTGCTTGTCTTTGCCAAGGCCAACATTCTTCGCACCATACAACATAGTGAGTGTCTAATCGTAGAATGAGCAAGTATACCAAATATCACATAAATAAAACTTGCCTTTTAGAAACTGCAGTTCATTGGTATGTATGTTTTGTCAGCAGATCCAAAAAGAAACAAACACAGACACCAAAAGAAAATCCCATTATTTTGATTCACATTAAGTATTCCTTGAAGATCCGTTGCTGAATAAGAGCTCACACTTTTCCCTCTCTCTCTTTTCTTGTATCTGAGAAAAAGAAGTTATCACTTACAGGAAATGAATAAAATAAGTTGATGAATCCAAATAAAATTAGGTCCAAACCAACCTTCCTTGAGGGCGAGTAATTTTAGTAACTTCATCTTTTGCTGATTTGTCTTTCTTTGGTGTGACATCAGGCGAATCACTTTTTACAGCTGCAACCTCTGAAAAAAGGAAAAAGATGGGTAAAATTATTAAGAACAATTACAAAACAAGAATACAAAACTAATGTGCAAAGTATACCTTCTTGAATAGGGTTAGCTGATTGCTGCTTTTGCAGAGAAAAACAACGACCAAAATCACAAGAAAAAGATGAGAAAAATTATTAGACATTGTAAATCAGAACTTCATCGGTGGAACTGAAAGGTAATCTTTTACTTGCCGTACCACTTTCAGTTTCTTCAATATGTTGTCAAATTGGGTGGTATCATATACCCATTTGTTACAAGGGCTATCATCACCAACACCTGCATACAAAATCAGAGTCATGCATCAGCAAACTCAGCTGCGGCCATTTAAGTTCTCTAATCAGAAAGTATTGAAACCCAGGAATTCTAGAAGAGAGAGTGGACCTAGTGTGTCCTGCTTGTTTTTCACTCTAACATGACCCTTTATGCCCTGCTTGTCTTTGCCAAGTCCTTCACCTTCTTCCCATCCCTAAAACAGTATTTATCATAGTATAGGGTGAGTGAGTGTATAACTGTATATCATTGTAGAATGAGCAAGTATACCAAATATAATTGCACATAAAATCAGCAAAACTTGGAGAAGCAAGCAATTTACAGAAACTGCAGTTCATTCGTTCATGTATGTTGTTGTCTCAGCAGTTCCAAAAAATCAGAACAAGTTCATTCGCAAGATACACCAACTACAGCATAATTCACGCCTCTCCATTATTTTGATTCACATTAATTCTCATCATGTGACTAAAATGTTATTGTTTCTATTTAAGTCGCATTAACTTGACGGCTAAAGCTGGTAAATATGATTGCCTTAATCCGCGTGTCAAATTTTCCCAGGTCATAGAACACTCAGTTTTTTCAACCAACAAAAAAAAAAGCGCGAGGACACTACTGGTCGGATCACGTACCATTTGCTTCATAAGGCGGAAGGCGGCGGACTGCCGCGCGATCCCGACGTAGCATGAGGGCGCCTCAGGGGCAGCCATGGCGCCTGTTCTGCGTTGGGTCGTCGCGGCTTTCACCCGCCGCCGGGCCGCCGGGTAGCAGCAGCCGCGCGCTCTCTCCTGAGTTGCCCGGAGGAGGGGGCAGAGAGGGAAACCCTAGCTATGCGGGGAAGGGCGTTTTGAGGCCGTGGTTTTTACGTCGAGATTCGGGCTTGGTGAGGCTTGACTCCCGCAACTGCCCAACGGGATAGGCCTTCTGGGCCTGGAGATGCCTATTGGTGGGCTTTTTCTAACGCTCGGCTCCGATGGGTCGTCTCGGCCCCATTTATTTTGACCCCGGCGCCTCCTTCCTCCTGTGCATCTGCTACTGCTGGTTGCCGGTGCTGATTTGATTTGCTGAACGTCGACGTCCTAACCCCGGTGACCTCCCTCACCCGCGCCGCTCTCCCTCCCCGTCGGCATACTCCTACAACGGAGGGGTTCGGCCTCCCTTGCCAAGGTAAGGATACCCTAGCACCTGCAACCTTGTTTTCTCTTGCCAAATGCATATGTCATCTGAAATCTTTCGATTTAATTTGCTTCATTCAGCGCACGCAGTACGATTAGGCCACTGACATGACATGTGAACATGACAGTATGAATTTGAGATGAGTGCGCCCCCCCGCCCCCCCAATGCTAAAATTTGGACGGGTTACAGAACTTAATATAGCTAAGTCTTTTGTGGGCATAACCTTAGGAATAGGTTACGTTTTGAGGCATTCTAAAGTATACCATATATATAGCATAAAGTTATTAAGCTCATGTGTCTTCTAGTTCTGCCATCAATTGTGATATATGCCTAAACTGTTTGGTCATTTCTCAGGTTGTGCCTCCCAGATAACTTATCTCTTGCTGCATTGAACTGTTTTGTGCTTGGAATGTCAGCACCCAAGCCCATGTCTCAGCTTATTTCCCATGTCATTCTTGATTTGGATGGCACCCTTTTAAACACAGGTGGCTGAAAACACTTACAGTTGATGTTTTTTGAAGCTTAGAGTGTGAGTGTGTACTAAATTCACTTGCCTGAGCCTACTTTGATTTTCTTGGTTGTACTAATTGGCAGGTTCCATTGTAAGTAAGGTGGTAAAAACATTTCTTGCCAAAAATGGGAAAACGTGGGATAGCAAGAAAGCTCACAAGCTAGTTGGGAAGACACCTTATGAAGCTGCAGCTGTTGTTTTAGAAGACTATGGACTCCCTTACTCTACAGCAGAGTTCCTCTCAATGATTGCTCCAATGCTCAGTGAACAGTAATGCCATTGGATCTTCTATGTGCTTGTATATTTTCTTGTTGTTTGCAAAAGTTGTGCTGAAATACTATTTTAGGGGAGGGGGATTTTAGATGTATTTGACTGTATTGCTGCATCTTCTTGATAAGATCCATTTATGATTCTTTCATCATTTCTAGATGTGGATGCCTGTTTCCTTGACAGTTAGTTCTCTCCTTTTTCTTTTTTGAGTTGCTGAATATCCTTGATTTACTACACCTCATAATGCAGGTGGTGCAACATAAAACCTCTTCCAGGAGCTAATCGGCTGATAAAACATTTAAGGAGTAATGGGGTGCCTACTGCTTTAGCTTCAAACTCACCAAGATCTAACATTGTGGCCAAAATTTCCTGCCATCAAGGTATATCTGGAAAATTTGATTAGGCACTTCCTTTTTCTATCTATGCGGTGAAGTTATTTATTAGTGAATTTGTTCCTACCTTGTATAGGATGGAAGGAGTCTTTCTCTGCAATTGTTGGTGGAGACGAAGTAGAGAAGGGGAAGCCGTCCCCTGATATGTAAGATATGTCATCATCTCTCATACTCCAGATTTGCTTAATTCATCTCATTTTCTTATTTCCAATCTGCTGTTATGATGGTCTTCCAGATTTTTGGAAGCTGCAAAAAGAATGAACGCCACTCCTTCAAATTGCCTAGTAATCGAGGATTCCTTGTAAGTTTTTCCTTCTGTAACTTACTAAATAGAATGTAAGGACGTAGGGATTTCTATGTAAACAGAATATCCTATTTCCATAGGCTCGAATGACCCCTTCTCATAATAAGAATGTGCACGATCTGGTCCGGTATGGAATGAACTTATAATCTGATGATCTAGTCGATTCCATGATTATAAGTTCATAACCCTAGCACCCATTCCCATATGCTATATATGATATACTCTTCAGAAAAAAACATTATGTGCCCTCTTCCCACCTGAAACATAGGAAGGCTACTAAAACCATGTTTTGGACGTACTTGTGCAAACACGCGAGATTTTAACTAGTGACAAAAAAATGTTTACCATGGTGCATTTTAGAGTTACAGAATGCACCGTGTTGGCAGTTGCAGTCCTACGGGAGTATCTGTATCTTTACATCTGGGAGCTGGCCTATGGTTCGATCTTGCAGCAGGGAGTGTTGGATCAGTACCGCTGGAAGCTCATAACATCTGGGGAGTGCAACAGCAAATCTGCATAATTTTGGCTTGCGGTGAAAACTTGATGCTGGACTGCTGATCGCCTTGCCAAGCGTGGTCTTCCTCATCCGGCTGTCTGCCCTCTTTGCGGTCAAGCTGAAGAATCCATCCAACACTTCCTTGTCTCCTGTGTTTGGGCCTGCCAGGTCTGGACTGAGGTTTTTCAGAAGTTGCAATTGATCTTCTGGACGCTTCAGGCCAACACCAGTAGATTTTCAAGTTGTTGGTGTCAAGCACTAAAAAACATTGCCAAAGGATATCAGGAAATGTCTCAATTCACTCATGATCCTAGTAAGCAGCCTGTAGTCGGATCATTTTTTCTATCTATCAATGAAACTTCAAGAAAAAAAAACATCCTAGTGGCATGGGAAATATGGAAGCACCGGAATGACTGTTTTTATTAGTGTGAGGTCAAATTTTATGACAATCCTACAGGTAGTGGCAGATGAGTGTGTCCTCTGGTGCTTGGCTGGAGCTAAAGATCTCCGAGACCACCTGGTCAGGACATTTACATGAGGCGTGTGATTTTAGTTCTGGGGTAGCTGGTCACCTTTTTTTTCCTGTGGCTGCCTCTCTTCTAGATTTTTAGTGCACCCTTGTATTTTCTCCTCTCATAGGTATTAATGAAATGATACACAAATATTTTGCGTATTCAAGAAGAAAAATACACAGTCATGCATGTCACCAGAAGAAGTAACTGTTTATTTTCTCTTCCCTATACATGTATAGTTCTGGGCTGACATCACATGTAGCATCTGTATTTTTTCCTGATGACCGTTCCTTTTACTGGTTCAAAATATGATGTAGGATGAAGTACTTTCGTGAAGAAATTACCTCTAACACTGTAAATAATGGTTGTGCTAGGCCAGGTGTTGCAGCTGGAAAAGCTGCGGGAATGCATGTCATAGCTGTACCTTCAGTACCCAAAAAGACTGCTGAGTTCAGTTCAGCTGATGAGGTGATCGATTCCCTCCTTGACGTAAGGCCTGAGAAGTGGGGTTTGCCACCATTTAATGATTGTATGTTCCAACTCTTGAGCTTGTCTATTACTTTTGTTCATTCAGAGAACATATGTATTCTTTTAGCTTATCTATGAATAAGTTTTCTGTGCAGGGATTGAAGATACGTTACCAATAGAACCATGGTTTATCAGTGGACCTGTGATCAAAGGATTTGGCCGTGGTTCTAAAGTATTAGGAATACCAACAGGTAGGTTACATGCAGCTGCTTAGAAGCTCATTTTTTGTTTCATTTAATGGGCCATTTCAGTTGCTTCCATAACTAGCTTTTACTTTTGAACCAGTTCAGCATTTTGCCTCACTAAGAAAGTTGCTAGACAACAAGATACCAGTAGGAAATGTGCTGACACTATATGATAGGCCAATGGTTTCATGCTGGTTTGCAGGCCCCAATCTGTAATGGACATTATTTGGTCATACTTCTTGAATATATAGATAGCTGCCTCTTTTATGTTATGCTCCCTACGATCCGTAATGTAGGTCGTTTTAGTTTTGTGCTGAGTCAAACTTCTGACTTTGACTGTGTTTGTAGAAAAATCACCAACATCAAATTAGTTTAGTCAACTCCACCATGAAATATGTACATAGTGCATTTATTTTTTTTAGAAAGGACGGCAAAAGCTTTGCCGCAGATTTTATTAGACGATAGAAAAGGAAAAAGAAGGGGTGTTACAAAAAAGCATTATACAACTAGACAGCCACACTCAAAACTCGGAGAAAAGAAACCACTCGACTAAAGCTAGCAACAGAAAACGGAAAACGGAATCAAAACATTGCAAACTGTCCAGACCAACTAACACCGACTGCGACTCCCGACATACAACAGAACTCATGGCTGATGCAAAGCCCTTGCTTCATGTCACATGTTCGTTGCCAATCTGTATTGTAGGATGTCATCCTTGCATAATCCAGCCACCTCTCTCGGATTTAAATTCCTTTGTTGGAAGCATACATAGTGCATTTATTAGGTATTTTAGATGTTAATATGTTTTTAACAAACTTGGTCAAAATATCTACAACATCAAATTAGTTTAATCAAATCCATCATGAAATATATGCATAATGCATTTAAATATGTTTTTAACAAATTTGGTTAAAACTAGAGAAGATTGACTTAGGACAAAACAAAAAAGACTTACGTGTTGGAAAGGGGGGAGGATTCACCAAAACGATATATATTTGCTGCTCTCATGTACCAGGTTGGGCGATGTGACATCATTCTGTTTCCTAATGGTTCGCTTTGAACTTTATTGTTCAAGAATTGTACTCGGCTGATGGTTTCTGCGGCTGATAAGCCGGCTGATGCTGTTTTGTTGTGAGAGAAAAACATTGTACCATGGTTGATAAGCCGGGCTGATAAGTTCAAGTGAACAGGGCCTAATGGTTCGCTTTGAACTTTATATATTTTGCTGTCTGTTCTTAATCTGGGTCATTTTGCGTAGTATTCTACTATTCTGTAGGAGATCATATTTGTTTATTTGATACTACTATACTCAGGTTTTCATCTAGAGCACTGATGT